GTCATTACAACCAAGAACAGTGGCAGACCGCCAGTTCAAAGGGAATTTTCCCTCTCTGAGTTCTCCTGTGGCCTCAGCCTAGACTAGACCGCAGGAATCCAGCAGTGGATTGGTGCTCAGGCACTTTGAAAGAGGATCACAGGCCAGACTTTCACCTCTGAAAATGCCACTCACTCATCTCACATCATTTTCATGAGGACAGAGTCATATGGAGGAGGTTATTTTGCAGGACAGAACCACAGTGAGAGTGAATTCTGGGAATGGGAAGGTAGGAAACACTGACTGGGGGAGTGAATGAGAGGTTCCACTTCCATTTGGAATCACACAAAACCAAAGATAAGTAAGAGTCAGACAAAGAGACGAGTGAAAAGGGCAGATCAACAAAAAGACATAGAATAGAATAATAGATATGTCCTCTGTCTGTGAGAAATATCTGTAAATCTATGGCATGTTATGCACCCTGTAGCAGCCTGCAGGAACACAGTTCTTATTGTAAAGCAAACCAACCACAATAACCATTGGCTACAATGCAATTTCCCCTGTAAATCGAAGAAAGGAAAATGCCAGGCAGCTGTTTCCAGCCACAAAAAACAGAGCTGAGGCTGTTTCTGACAAAAGAGACGCGAAGGAGACGATGCCTTTAGCACATGCTGCCGGTTAGAACTGATCCAGGCATTTTATTAGCAGACCGCATGAAGCAGTCGAAGCTAACCCAGAGGTCTCACCCCTCCTCCACTCCCCTCGACCATCTAAAGTAGAGCTGCCCTGTTAAAGTCATTAGCCCAGGGATATTACTACACTGGCGAAGGCTGCAGCACCCATGACATCATTATGGGCTGCTGTCAGTCCAGTGGGACGTCTGTGAGCAGTGTCTGAGAGGAGAGGTTCAGTCCCACCATGCAGATGCAGACACATCCGTTTACAGTAGCATGCATCGTGGAGGAGGAAACAGTGGTCCAAAGGAGGGGAAATTACACTTATACCACCAAAATGCAAATATCATTTACGGGAAGTGTGTTTTGAGGCTGCAACAAAACCAATTATGTTAATTTAGCAGGGGTTGCTATTAGAACAACCCCTGCTAAATTTAGAAACCTCTCAGACTATTTTAAATATATATGATACTTTGGAAGGAGATCAGATCCATGGCCTTGACTTCCAAAGGAACCCCAAACATGAAGACAGAAGCTTTTGAAGTGCCTTTATCTCACAACAAGGGGCAAGCAGGGTGGAGAGAGGACCATTGTCTGATAAGAACACTAATATATACAAGCATGTTATCCTTTCCCACAAAGTAAAGGAAATCTGGAGCTACTATGGGGTAGGGCGGGGTGGGGTCAGAGAGCTTGAAAACTTCTCCCAGTCAAAAACACAACTGAAATGTTGAGTCTACTGCCTCTTGCATAGAAATCATCTGCTCTGCACGGCTGAACATAATAACAGGGATTTACTTTGCGTTGCAGGGCAGTCAAACAACTGCAGACTGTTCCAGTCTCCAGGCAGGATAAAAAAAATTTCCTCCCTTAACGGGAAATATGACGGCTACAAATCAGTACCCATCAATCACGTGGAAAACCTTACATTCATATAAAATGTCCAACTAGTCATCTACGTGACAAAGACACAACTTGAGCTGTTATGATAGATCCTAACAGTTTAGTACAGTGTGTAAGTGTCACACTAGCTGAGACTTTGAGACACAGCAGTTAACAAGCCGGCCTTGAATGGCTTCTTGCTGTGCTAGTCTCTTCATATGAGAGCTTTACTCTGTAGCTGCTGATAGCTCCGCCAAGCAAATAATGGCTTTATTCCAGAAACACGGAGCCTCCACAAAGGGTGCAAGAATGAGACTAATGCTGTGAAGCTCTTTGCTGCATGATGCTGCAATTAAGGTCTTAAACAGCTGAAAATCAAGGCCGGGTGTGGTTATGTTGAAATGTGGCGTGGGGAATACAAAATAAGCACCTGTGAGGAACAAAAAATAAACAGGTAGCGTATTCTCTACATTAAAAACGTTTCTGAATTGTGTCTTTATGCATGTTATGCCTGTCTGGTTCTGTGGTGGTGGAAACTGTAAGAGACGACTGTGGTGCAAGTTGCAGTGATGTTTCATGACTAAAACGTTACGCAACTAAATGTAAAAAAATGTAGCTCCTTTGAAGGATATTATACCAATTCTACCAGTAATTGTGAAACGGCCAATGTGGCATCCTGATGTAACTATTTACACAAATACAGTCACTCACCATCTATCAACATCCAGTCCGGTTCTCTAGTTCTAAAATGAAGCATTGTCTACTTCACAACCCAGGTTTTTGAACAAATAAAAAACAGAGACGTGTTAATTTGTGAGTTTTAGAGCCAGGCTTGTTCTTGCCATCTGTTTTAAGTCTTCATGCTAAACTAAGCTAACCAGCTACTAACTGTAGTCTTACAGGACAGTTATGGGAGTTCTGTCATCTCATCTATCTCTCAGCCAGAAACTCATGACATTTTGTCTTAAAGGACTAGTGTGTAGAATTCAGAGAGCCAATGTTTGGTTTGTCCATTCTGGGCTACTGTAGAAAAGTGGCGGTTCAACAAGGTGGCCTCAGTGGAAGAGGACCTGCTCCCTCTGTAGATAAAAACAACTTATTCTAGGTAACAAAACACAATGATTATTACACTAATGAAAACATACCTGTCAATATTATATTCAGTTTCTGCTTTCTAAATGTTAAACACTGGACCTTTAAGTCAAAGTTCAAATTCATTTGAATTGATATGAATTTAACCCGATGCACGTTGGAGGACCAAAACATTGTGGATAAAGGAAGTAGTGTTTGATTTATTTAGGTTCTTTCTGAGTGTTTGATCTGTATGAACTTTGTTGTAATTGTAACCTACAAGAAAAAAAAAGTTACTTTGAGAAAAATTCTAAAACGTTTAACAGATTTTTAGAAGTTTATTTTGACTCGACTCCTAGATTGCACCACTGCTACAGGCTACTCTGTAATTCATGCCTTCACAAAAGTACTTGAATACAATACTTCTATAAACTTTCTATAAAATAATAACATTAAAATGACAATAATGAAAAATGCTCATCACAAATTTCTAAAACACAAGGTGACATCTCCAAACAACATCCAAGAGAAAGAAAAACATTCAGTTTACTGTCACAAAGGAGAATCACTTCACTGGAACCAGACAACCTCTGGTATTTTTGTTTTAAATGTGACTTAAATGATTAATAGATTAACAAAACAGTTGCTATTGTTATTAATTTTGCGCAGACTAACTAATCGTTACAGCTCCTGTAGAGTTATAGATCAGATATTTTCCAGCCCTTGGGAGGACCTTTATCATGAATAATAACAGCCTGACACAGAAAACTATTCTGAGCAAAACTCCACATGATTGTTCCAAAAAAAGTCCCTTCTCTTGTAAAAGAAATGTCCCCTTGACGTGGGATGACAGAGTCACTTGACTGTGTTGATAACTGGTAAAAGTGGGTGTTGACTGTGTGCTCATTATTACAAAGCGCTCAGACAGCTCAACTCCAGCCTGATGTGGAGCATGGAGGGAGGGAATGGAGGGGAGGAGAGAGACTCATCGGGTGTGGGAGTTTTGGGGGAATTCAGAAAATGTTGTTTTCAGATGGCATAAGCCTGCAGCAAGGAAACTTTTAAATAAACCCAATGCCGTGATCTGTGCTCCGTCAAGGATGTACAGTATAATGTGTCCCCCCCATAGAGTCTCACCATGCTGTGCTCAGTTTGCCACTTCAGCCAAACGCTGAGTTGTCTGACTTTAGGGGAGACAAAAGAACCGCAGGAGAGGGGGGACAGCAGGCAGAGAATGAGGGGCGGGACAGCAGCACAGGTCGGTCCATTGAGAATATTTAGCAGCTCATAATGGACGAGACACATTCAATTTAATGTAAGTTATAAAAACAAAAGAGACTAACTCTTTTGTTCCAGAAACAACAACTCCATTATTAGGGATGTTTATTCTGGCGCTATTTAGATTTAAATCAAAATCAACTTAAGTTTAAATTAAACATTTAGAAAGTTGTTATACATAACTCTGTGACATTTAGTCCACGAACTTACCAAAACAATGGCAAATTTCTCCTCCAGCTCCGTGGGGTCAGGCATGGGCACCTTCAGAGGCATGATGTGATGCTTCATCTCCGACTGGCCGTCCACACTCTCTATATTACCCATTTTCCCCCAGATGTGCGCTATCCTCTTGAAAAACCTCGCAATCCTTCAGCTTCTTTCAGTGATGATAAATCCCAAGTAAAGAAAAGTAAAAAAAATCTTCCAAATATTCCAACAATTTCATTAACGGATCGATCCAAAGAATCCACTTCTCCAGATGAACAGCTGACAGCGCAGTAGTCTCGTATTAATGTCCCAAAATGCCATTTACACTCACTCACGCGTTTTAGGTTTACAGTGTGCTCCACTGTAGTTTCCCTTCAAAACTTAGTTTCAAAAGTAACAATAAAAGTACAGCAGCTTTCTCCACCAGAAAGTACTTTCTAATTTCCCCGGCCAATCCATTACTTACAGGTGATTTCCCCCCTGCGATAGGTAAATTTCAAATGCCAACAAACAGTTACTTTTAGTTGCTGCTCAACTTTCTTGGCTACGACGTGTTTCCATTCATTATTGTTGTGTGATCCTGATTAAGGTCTTTGCTGTTGCCTCCACTCAGAGGGAAGGTTTTCTTATCTAACCCCGCCCCTAGCTGGGGGGGAGGCGGCGCTCCCGTTGGCCTAAAGACCTGTCAATCACCTCCTCTTCTGTTAACCCTGCCCCCTGACATCTGTAATGTGTAGTGAGCCTACATACAGATGCACGGAGACGCGATGCTTTGTCAGCACTTTATCGCTACCTAGAGGCAAGATTTCAGTACGACATCCCATCATAAAACCCCTAGAATGTAATGTTGTAAAGTTAAGTTTAAGGAAAACACATAAATAAAGTCACAAAACTGGTTTGATTCATGAGAGTGCAAACTTTAATGAACAACTTCAGCAGATACATGATGATGTGTTTCAAATAATGTCAAAGTTCAGCAGTTTTCTTCTTCAGTTCTGACACTTAAAACACTATTTTCTTTCCATTACCACAAATCGGTGTCCAAACTTTTGTGGTGACAGTGGTGGTACATGGGAAGTTGTCCCACTGCTGGCGTACAATATTTGCTTGCTTCTCATAAGGTCGTAACTGTTTTGCTTGAAAAATAAAGTATAAACATGGTCGACAGCTTCAGCCTGTTGCACTTAGTGCTACGAACACATACAAACACAAGGAAGCATGGGTGTAAGAAGAACACCAGCGATGTGTTTTCAATATGTACAAAGTTTTCTCTTCAAAAGCACAGTGATTTAGACTCTGCTTACAGTATTATACCTCTGTTTTCAGTGGTAAATATGAGGGTCTAGGTTTGTAATACTTTGATTTATAAAAGCAACTTTAAGAGAGTTCTGGTTAAAACATATAAAACTTCATTTGGAACATAATTCATAAACGCTGACAAATTGTGCACAGCTTGTAATACTTAAGGCAATAATATAAACGTATATAAACAAAGTAATAGAAATTATTTGAAGATTGTAAAAAATTAAATTTAAAGGAATCTCTGTGTTGGATGCTGTAATAAAACATTGTCATACCTTAGGATAATAACCACAGCAAAAGCCCTTTTGTAAACAAAATTCAAAGAGGACTGCTTTTGAACACATATAAACTTGGTAGGTTTTGCAACATAGTTGCATTATTATCAAATATCTATTCAGCCAAAATATTCTACTGAAGAATCTGTCCAAGACAGCGTGGATTCAGCACAGTTAACACTTTACGGATGATAAGCTACATGTAAAGTTTCTTCTCATAAATACTGATGGACTGTTTTTGTGCAGCAGATATGATTTTTTTTCTTCAGTGATGGTGGAAATTTTCATTGAAGCTGAATATACAAAACACACAAATCACAGCTCACAGAAGCAACATTTAAAGTTAAATAGTACTTGAAGATTCTTCTAGTTGGTCTCTGCTACCAAATCGTACCTAAAAAAAAAAAAAAGCATATGATCTGTTGTTTATATGATCTTAAAATAAGTAATATTTGAACATACATTGGTGGATACAACTCTACTGTTACACAATATTGTTCAGTAGCTGTTTTATTAACTGAAATGATTACCATTGAGTGACACCAGCCTTGAGGTCAATTTGGTCCAGGTCCAGCTGCAACTGAGGGCAACAAAGCATAAAAGATGATATTCCACATTTCTATATCACTGGTGTCTGGTCATAATCACTACATCGACACTAAAGAATTTATGTAATGTTAATGGCAATAATGAAATTATATTTACCTTGCCAATAAGCTCCCTCTCTCTGCTCATGAAGGATACGCTGTTCTTCACAGACAGGTCCAGTCTTCTCTGAATGGACTCCTCCAGAGAGAAATCAAAGTCAAACCTAAAGAGAGAAAGAAAGAGAGAGAAAGGTGGGTGAGTTAACATCCTCGCACTTCCTTCACTATCATGAGTGTCTCATTTGTTTGTCTTACCTCTCGTTGAATTCTGGGTTGAGGTCTCTCTTCTTGGTGGCAGTTCTCCTCTTGGTGGTGGCCTTCTTGTCAGGCAGCAGGATAAAGGAAACATATGGGTCGGCACCGTCCTTGGAGCAGGCAGCCAGGGCTCTGTGGGTATATAGCGATCACAGTCACATCATGAGCTGGTAGCAAAGTAAATAGATAAACAAAGAGGTAAAGAGGTAACGTAACGTCATATAGAGACCTGCAGGAGTGTACAGTGATGAAGAGCCTGTTCTCCTCTGCGGAGTAGCCAACAGTAAGCTTCACCTGCCCTGCTGTGTTTGTGTTATCGCTAGCTCTGAAGACACAATGTGGAAAATGTCATTATTTGAATACTTCCGGCTGAAAAAAACTGGAAAACAGTTCACCAAAGGAAGCCCTGATAACTACTATCTTGACAGTGGAGGCTGTAAGTACATGCGTGCGACTCACATGGAGAATGCACTTCTCTGTCTGAGGTCTAGATGGGAAGGAACCCATCTGGGAAGGACTTCTTCTCCACCAGCGTCACTACCTGCATCCCCCTTACGACACACCGCCAGCTGAGTGTCCAAGATCTGCAAAACATACGGAAATAGAAATCATAGCTTAATAGCGTGATAATATTTGACCTCACGTCTGAATAATTCTACAGACTTTCTGTGCAGTAAGACTTACAGGACGCTTTAAAGTACAGTATTCACTGCAGTGGAATATTGGTTCTATAAACTTTGAACCTTTGACATACCTTACATGATGAGCTGATAGAGTACAGAATTAAACATCACTCATATGGACACATACTGCAATATATTGACAGTGTAGAGAAAATAAGCAGGGTATATTGTCAGTACCTTGAGCATGACCCTCAGTAGTATCTGGCTTTCTGGAAGTGCTCCATCCAGATTAACCCAGCGGTCCAGCACTAAGCCTGGCTCAAACAGCACCTCTCTGAGAGGAAGTGTCAAGGACCCGAGGGCCTGGCCCCAGCTGTGGGAGAGCTAGATACAAACATAGAGAAACATATAAATATATAATACAACTGCATGAATTCATAAAAAGTGGACATACAGATGCTGTTAATGATTCTCACCTTCACTGTGAGTGCTTCCTCTCTGGGGTCGCGAACAAAAAAGTGAAAGGCTTCGTCCCATTGAGGGGAAGTGGAACGCTCACAAATCTTGAGAAAGAAAGAAAATGTAATGACTTTTCTGCACTTTTCTTTTGTTCCATTCACAAGCTCATTTAAGACATCACGATCCTACCTTGGTTTTGTGTATAACGTTTTTGAGGATAATTTCAGCCCCGACTTTTGGCTCCTTTCCACTCTTTTTCAACTAAAATCAGACACAAAGAATATTCTAATAAAACCTCTGTAATCAACACATTACACCACCACTGATTTAATGTATAAAAGAACATGCAGCCGTATTGCAACACTGCAGAGTTGTATGCAATAAACTGCCACTAAAAGCAACTTTTGTACTTCTGCAATCTTTGGGCAAGGAAGAGAACATCACAATAAACAAACAAATAGCACCCCAGGACTCATGGGTATGATCTCACCGGCAGATAATGGGCACGCTCCACATACACAAACAGCACAGCCACTGATGGCACAACCTTGTTCTGGTACGACTGCTGAGATTGGTACTGCAGGATCTGTAGGAAGAGGAGAGTGACAGAGTTTGTAAGACTTATTGTGACTTATTGTGCAATAAGAAAGTTGTTTTTAATATTTCCTTCACAACCGACAAAGATATGAGCATAAATAAACTAATTTACACAAAGTATCTTAAGAGATATCCACAACAATCTATACACTGCTTATACATACAAAGTTGCACACAGCAAAAGTTTATTTCCCGTTGATTAACTGCTTGTAACAGCTATAGCAACCAAACAACAGAAAGAAAACAAGGTTACCGGGATCTCATGGTACAAGAGGCATTATTTAAAGCATAAGTTTAGATTTCTTTCAAGGTTGCTGTTTCATTCCTCCCATCCACTCTGGTCAATTCCTGGCACAACTCTACTGTAAAAGATGCAGTAAAACAAAATCCACAGTCCTTGTTCCATGCAGAAATGCTTTCTACAGCCAAGTTAATATGAGGCTTCAGCATTAGACAAATCATGTGGATATCTTTTTGCCACTGTTGTGAAACAGCCAGAAACACAACTACAAGTTAAGTATCTCTCTGCTGTGGCTCAGAAAGGAAACACAGTCCGTGGAAATAAAAAGTGGAAATGCTTTTCTTTGACTGCTACAAAGATTGTATCTTTGGCAGATATTCACTGGATTTGGTTAACTCAGAATGCTGAAGCCTCATATTAACTTTGACTAAACTTTGAAATGCATTTTTGCACATGACCATGACTAGAGAAGAAAGGGATCACTTCACGGCCAGTATGGACGAACTATTACAGCCTCCATTAACTTCTTCACTGTGAATATACCATGTGAGTACAAACTCTGAATATATCCTTTATAAAGAGGGAACATTTGTAATTTTGTATTAAACCTGTTCATCATTTGTCTACTTGATTGAGTATTGTGGATTTTGTAGCATCCAGGTACACATCCATGGTTCTGGTTCTACTTACCTAAGTTTAGCTTTTTTATTGCACATTTAAATTTTTATGCCTGTAGCTTTATATTATTTCATCAATTTCTTTGTACTTACTTAGTTACTTACTTAGTAGTATTTATTATTACTGAATTTATTATTGTGCTTGGAAAATATCTTACAGACTCCAGTCTGGCCAGGTCGGAGACTCTGGGCAGCCACTCCAGCACCAGGTGAACTCGGCCTGACTTCACATCATTTAGAGTGTACCACTGTAATAAGAGTGGCACAGAAATGTCTGGGTTACAATATGAATATAAATGTAAACATCATCTGTTAAATTATCTGTTTCAAATCATTTCAACTATGTGTCACACACCGTATCAATGAATTGTGCACTGATGATATCTCGTAGGCTAAGCTTGAACCTGCAAAGACAGAACTCAATCAATACTTTATTCTCCCTCATTAACAAATTTTCCTTCAGTTAAAGAGCCATGTACCTCCCAAGGAAGTCATCCTGATCAAGGTCCTTGTCAAACAACTCAAACTGGATCTCCTGACCAGGAAGCTGCGTCAAAATCACCTAAATCATAGAAGAAAAAAATCAAATAATATCTAACTTTAAGCCAAATAATTTCATCAGAGGAGTAGAAGAACTAACTACTCAAGCATTAAACGAAGATAATACCTCATAGAGTTCATTCCAGATGGGGTTGAGGTTTTCTTTGATGGTGTGGCTACGGTAAGTGATACCAGCCACACGGATCTTGACATAGGGGTCGCTCTTCCCCTTCACCATGCCCCCCATGAAGTTGTCCTTCGCTATCAGGTTTTGGGCCTCGACCAGATTGATACGCAGCACTCCCTGTGGGCAGAACAAGGACAGAGAATACTACTACAGTGTGTGTGTGTGAGAGGCTGAGTGGTGCTGCTGATTGACTCTTGGTAACTGTTTTTACCTCCGTTGCAAACTCTAGGTCGGGCGTAGTGTGCTGTGGTCGTGCTGGTTGAGGTTTACCCAAACCACCGGGTCCTACAGGGTTCAGCTCTGATGTGTTTCCCCCCTGACCCATCCCGGAGCCAGGAACTGAAGGCCGAGGAGACGGAGTTGTAGGAGTGGCATCATCGCTTAGCCACAGAACCTAGTAGGAAACAAACAACGGTAATTATGGTGAGCAAATGTCAAGCAGTAAATTACTGAAAAACACTCTTTTCATGCTTCTTCAACTTCTTCATCTTCTGCTCCTATTTATGAGGACCACATGTTCAAGAATAGAAAGACGTGGCAGAAAGAAGACATGTGGATGGTCTACTTTAGGTTCATTTTGTGTGCTGGGGTTAAGTTCAGGCATGTAAAGGGGAGGAGATAAGGATTAGGAATTCATGTAGTGAATCTCATGATGCAAATTTGTGAGTGCACATGCTACAGTGCTTTATAATCAATATCCCACATGCTTGATCTAGGGGTGTTATGTTCAACAGGATCTGATTTCCATGGATGAAAAACACACACAGAGCCAGGGTAAGTTTAAATCTGAGATCTTGGTTGTGAAAGGGTTGTGTGATACTGAAGCATGTGCCTGAGGCCACAGCGGTCCTTTGGGAGCTGGTAGGATTTCAACGTTTTCCACACAGACACTTCAGCTGGGCCAAAACATAGCTTGAATCCGCATCTTACTTATCTACTACACTACCTGACACATGAGTGTGCACAAAAAAAGAGTCCATGTCTATGTATGAAATACCAACCCTAAGCACAATTTTGACATAGATGCGGCTGGCAGAACCAGAATTCTCCAGCTGGAACCACTGGTCCAAGGTGAGTTCAGAGGTCGCCAGAAGACGGGCCAGGGGGATGGTTAGGCTGCCCAGGGACAGAGCACGGTCATCATCTTTCACCTGATTGAAAAACAAAGGAACAGGATATGTGGAGTTCAGATAAAAGCAGCAGGAAGGACAGATATCATGAAGGGAAAAGGGCCATAATTAGGTTAAAGAGTCTAAAGAAGAGTGTAAAAATGTATTAGAACCAGAGGGAAAATCAATAAAGTATTTAGCGTAGTAATTACCTCCACGCCTCGAGATACTAGATTAATTGGTGTGTTCAGTCATTACTGAAAATTATTTACTTGAATGTCGATGTCTTGTTTGCGAGGATCCTGAATAAAGAAGGTAAAGGCATCCTCCCACACAGGGCTGTTGGTCCCGTAGCAAGTCTGCAGAAGAGAAAACATCCATTATGCTCAGAGTTTGCTTTCATTAACTGAGAAAAAGCTAAAGTTGTATCATTACCTTGCTCTCTTTAGTTGCATCCTGAATGGAAATCTGCACCATTGGGCTTGGGTCCTTATTGCCTTTTCTCATCTACAACATATCGAACACATCATTGTTGACAGATGGAAATTGTATGCACATCACACGGCAGAGCCCTAAATAATGATGATCTTACAGGCAGTTCGTGAGCTTGATCAAGATAGATAGCAAGGATGGCCGCAGATGGAGGATCAGCCGTCTTACTGGTCAAGTCCTGGTTCTTCTGGATCACCTGGTAGAATAACCACGAACAGAAGCAAAGAGCATGTGAGGAAAAGTATCTCAGAGCCTAAAAGCTTGAAGCCCAACCAGCGGCCACCAACAATTTTACTTTTTTAATACTATTGATTATGTTACAATGTTATTGATTAACTCATTGGCAATTTTAGATTCGTCTTATTTATTTTGTTTTTAGATTGCTCTGAGGTTATCTTTAACTTCGACTTAACTACTGTCTTGCAGTAAAGTAAAACAGAACACACACAAACTGAAAAATAATATATATAAAGCATAATGCATAAAAATCTGAATAAAATGTGTAAAAAACAACTACACACCTCACATTCAACAATCTACACAAGGTGACAGCATCCCATAAAACCTGTAGTACATCCAGCCATTTTCATCCAACCCAAAGGTGCCACTTTAGAGTGTTTGTATCTTTTATCTGATTCAAAATCAGTGATTTTACAATAACATCTTGGCAAGAAAGACAATTGGCAACAATAAAAAGATATTTAATTTTTTTCTGGTTACATAATTCCGATGATAAAGTTAAAGTATACTAACTTCAAATTAAAGGATTCTATCAAAATCAAACTTAAAACTAACATTTGAATCAATGGGAAAAAGTTCAACTTAATCTAAACTAATTTCTGGCCAGGAGCCTTTGTTGCATGTCATCACCCTCTCTCCCTATGTTTCCTGTCTCTCTACGCGGTGGATAAACAAATAAATAACATGGTTTAATAATCTAAAAATTATTCTCAGATATTTTGTCTACATCACTACCCAAAACCCTGCTGCTGATAGGGCATAAAAAAGATTTGCTGCGTAGCATAAGGCTGTGCTGTAGACTCACATCACTCAGTCTGTCAGCAGAGGACAGCAGAGAGAGCCACTCCAACCGGAGGTGGACGCTGCCGGATGGGACGTCCTTCAGATTAAACCACTGTTTACAAAAACAGAGGGCTCATTAAACACACACTTTTCTCTGTATGGCAGGATAGAAGATCAAAGCAGATCACGCGGAGGCACATGGCCTCTGCAATGTCACACGCTAACAGGATTACTGCAGTCTTCCTCAGATATTTTTTACAGACGACATAATAACTGCATTCTTGTGCTTGCTGTTTATTATATTATTTGAGTGAGAATACATACATAAATGTAGTGGTAAAATCTAAAAAGGTTAAACATAAGCAGTACTACTTACATCATCCACAATTCTGGCCTTCTTTACAATATCAAGATCCACCTTGACTCTGAAAGAGAGGCAGATAAAGAGAGATAGAGACAGAATCAATGAAGCCATGAATCAAAGAGACTAAAGCGTTCAAATTTCGACAGAATCATGGCCCAGCATGGCAATAGCAGAGATGGAAATGACATGAGCAGCACACAGAGACAGAGTAAATGAATGAGAATGAATAAGCTACCTCCCCAGGAAGTCATCCTGGTCTGGGTCTTTGTCAAAAACTTCCACTTCCAACTCCTGACCAGGTACTTCATGGACAATCACCTGACACACACACACACACACACATAAATGGACGAACACACAATACACACAACAAATAAACAAATATAGATACAGCCACAAATGACACAATAACACAAGGGCATGCAAACAGAATCACAACGGCAACAACCTTTCACTTGTGCTAAAGTAGATGTTCATAATTTAATATCTATTCTATTTTGGTTCAAATTTCATAAACCACAAGAAAAGACAAATATGTCAGCAAGCAGTTTTCGCAAGAGCTGATTATCTCGGAAACAGGGACTTCCTGCTACCACAGAAGTAGATCGTATCTCCTCAAAACTGTTTATCTCTGTGCCAGTGACATGTTTACTACCAAAGACTTCCCTATGCAGTCCGTACAAAGCAAGGACACCAGCACCAAGCTATAACTTTTAGTGCACACATTGGTAGGAAGTGCAGCACTTGAATATAAAGGCAAACCCATATATCTCATGTTTCTTTTAGCTCAGTTTTAAGATATATTTTATTTCCTCCCAGCCCCTCTCACCTCGTACATCTCCCTCCACTGTGGGTTCAGGTTGCTGTCCACGTGATGAGAGGTGAAGATCTGGGTTCCCACACGCAAAACGGCATATGGGTCCGACTTCCCATCGATTAGGCCCTTGATGACCGTATCCTTGGCAGTCAAGTCCTCAGCCTCCAGCAGGTGGATGCGCACAACTCCCTAGCATGTGAATACACATGAAGGAAAACGTATGCATGCACGAAGAAATGAAAATTTTAGTCAGCAAGCTTGCCCACATAACATGCATTCATGTTTTTCATTCACAATGTGAATTTGCTGTATGACTGTTAAGCTATGTGTTTGCTTGCAACGTATAGACTGAGGCAGATCTGCTTTTGTCTGTGTAGCTCCATGTTTCTCCAGGCCATTCATAATTGAGACAGTTACCCTTGGGAGAGGGGAGCGGAGCTGTGCAATGTGCAGGTCGGCCACCAGGGGAACAGTGAGACGGTTGGGGAGCACCAGGTGGGAGGCTATTGCATCCATTATCATAGTGTCCGACATGGCACTGCAAATGAATGCCAGGATGATGTTGGGGGCACACATGGGAGGGACACACAGACAAAACAGACAGAGACTATATACTACTGCTGAACACATGAACATGCAATAAATAACATGATATTCAGGTTCTTAGCAACAGAACCAACAGGAAGCAACCACTGGCTAAAGATGACAACAGTGTTTTGTGAAATCATGTTGGCTAATGTCATCAAAAGGAGGAATACAATTAAAAGATAATGACAAACTGTCATTCAAAGTATTGCCAGAGGGAACTGGTGAGTCAAAAAATGTTCACCTCAGGCAACACTTTAATTGTATTTTCACAGAAGTATATTATATAAGATCGTAACACACACAGTGTAGAATCAGCCACCATACAATTACATTGAATATGAATGTTAAATAGAGCTGCATCACTCAAATCTGTCAGACCATCAGTTTATCTTCATATTGTATCTAATTGTACTGTAGTTGATTCTACATTGTCTGCAGTGTGACCTTACATAAACCTTGAAAAATACCTTGATATCAATACAGGGAATCATAATATACATACTGAAGAAATATAATAAGTATGGCATAAGGTTTAACAAGGATAAGGATAAGACTGACATTGTTCAATCTTTTTCTTGCCATGAAATGCCATGAAAAGAATAAAACCAACAATGTGTTATTCTGTCAGTACTTTCAACTTATCGACCCTGTCTGTAGCTCCAACCCTAACCCTAACCACTCGATAGTGACAGTTGAAGATAGACAGGCAAGAGGGAGAAAGGGAGGGGGGGATGACACGCAGCAAAGTGCTACAGGTCGGATTCAAACCACGAGACGCTGCAGCAAGGACTTGGTCTTGGTACATGGGCCTACCAGGTAAGCTATCCAGGCCTTCAAAGGGTGGTCACAAATATTTACTATCATAATAAAAAGTAATTTCCTAAAACAGCTGGGCAAGTTACTGAAACAAGAGCGAATAGTGGATTTGTTGGGCACTATTTTCTGGCGCAGATAAATACACATTTGCTGCTTTATTGAACATTTAAGGGTGATGTGTGCGCTAACTAACGAAACTACTGTGTCCTTGTTTGAAGAAAAACCTTACCCAGTGCAACAGCATGACTCATTTATGAATAGTTTCATAATAGTAACAATGCAGCTTTGTGGCACACGGGAATACGCTACATCAGGATTTAGTTACTTGTTATATGATCAATTGATTGTTGGTTTTAGAGTCTTAACAGGATTTCTTGACAAGAGCAAACATATAGGATATCACCACACTTACCCTTTAAGGGTGTGACCGCACTGATCCGTCACTGAACAGAAAAACCTCAGACTCTAGTGGCTAAATAAATAATAAATTCTCTGAAAAAAACATTTAAAAAAACACCAGACAGATCAATGCGGCCACGCCCTAAAATATATCCACACAGAGCTCCATCATATAAACTCACTTTAGTCCAGGGATATCTAACAGGTTGGTCAGTCCAGTCCAGTTGATGTCCAGTTTCTATGACCCAGATAAAAGTAAAGACATATGAATACATACATGTAGATATGTATTCATGTTCACATAACAGTGCAGTGCAAAACTGAGAAGTAATCAAATGTGGTTCACTGGTGTTCTACGCACAGGTCTGCGGATGAAGAACATTGTGATGGCTCCAACCAGTGGCATATCTCCGATCAGAGGCTCAAGGATCACACGCAGCTTCCCATGGAGCTGCAAAGAGAAAAAGATTGAAATGATGTTTTCAGACAATATTTGACTAATAATGCTAATAATGTAAGAATATCTGGTAACACTTTATTTGGATAGTTAGCCTACAGATAGTTTATTTAGAGTATTTGTAACATTTCAACTCTTACACTTTACTAGATGTTTAACAGATTATCTACTGAGTATATGTGACAATTCATGAACATACCCTAAGATATTTCTATGTCTAAACCTAACCAAACCTGAACCACAGTGGTGTGATAGCAGGAAACAGTTCACCAACTAGACTTATAAGCTGTTGAAATGTTAGTCTACAAATAGTCTATAAGCAATCTATAGGCAGACTATCCAAATCAAGTGTTACCAAATATCATTTACATATTATATATCTTATAGTGTTAAATATATTATACCTGAACTCCTTTCACTCCAGCTTTGCAAAAGTACTTTTTGATTTCTACGTTGATCTCAACATCACCGGCATAGCTGCAAATAGCAGAGCAGTGACAATTCAAGAGATACATGTTTAATCAACAGAAGCAGCTGAGCATGAGCTGTCATGAGTAAACAATGATCTGCAGTAACAAACTGGGACAAACCCTACCCTAATGTAGGACACTTCGTGGTAACTACTTCTTTGAACATTGCAGTGTTTGACTTGACTGACTGGTTATACACAAGCAAGAATATGAAATAAAGAACAAACAGAAGTTGTTAATGCATTACCTCAGGTACAAATCCAACATAACTTGTCTCTTATCGTGTTCTGTGTGAGCCTTTACACCAACCAGCTTTAGAGCCTGCGAACACAACAGCTGTTAATACACAAAACAAATAAGACTGCAAGAGAATTTAAAAAAAGATGCACATGAAGATTATATCATTCGCTGTGATGAACTCATTCATCTTCAGGATTGTAATACAAGCCCTGCATTACCTGAATAACATATTAGCCACATTAAAACCATGGGTTCCACTTTATTTTCTTGCTCGTGGAACATTTACAGAATGAATTGCTGCTTTTATGACGGGCCATTCAGATACCTTGTCCCCTATGTTGACCTTGGTGAAGCTGAGAGTCTGCAAGTGAATGCTGGAGGCACGGATGGCAGGAGCAATGGTTTCCACCAGCAACTTCTCCAGATACTGGCCTACAAAGGGCCAAGCCTGTTGCAGGATCTGCACGACAGAACATAATAGCTATTCATTTTTCTTGGCAGATTTGAATAGGGCAACTATATGATCCAATTTGTTGTTATATATGAGATACACAGGATAGTATAATGTCATAAATAAATACAAATAACCAAAAGTGTTTCATGTTTGCATTCATGGTAATAAAATTCTGTGTATAACAATGGATTATTATGTGTGCAAAGTCATAGTAAGGCACTTCCTGTGAATAAGCAATAATTTACTAGAACCAGACAGCAAAGAACCATAAAGACACGTAGACAGACACACACATTTTCACACAAGCCATGGCCACGTATTGTTTGCCTTGTTGTTAAAAGACAGAGGACAAAATACAGAGTCAACATATCAGTGTTATCAGGCCACACAGCCTCACACTGGTGTAATCTTCAGCATTTCCGTGTGAGGTGTAAGTGTGAGGCGCCAAGTCCTGTAAGCTGCTGTTCACTGATCCCCTGACCTCCAAACTCCTCGTGAGACTGGTGATGCTAACAGGCTACAGCAACAGGAGGGTCTCCCATAGATTATTTATGATACAGTTACGGACCTGCAGTTAGAAATGATGCATTCAATAAAAGTGCAACTCCTCACAGGGCTTTTTCACACGCATTGCTCACAGCTCATATAATCTCCACACATTAAATATAATAGAAGGTGAGAACATTTCAGGGCTGATGTATTGTTTGTTTACAGCTGCAGGAGAGGAGGGTACGTGTGAACAGCTGGATCACATGTCAGGAAGCCTGGAGGAGAGACGTGGGCTGGTGAAAGATGAGGCCAGCAAATTGCCATCCTACAATCTGGGCTTCTATCACTGAGTTCATTACATTTTTCTCTCCAGAAGGGCGCTTTGTATTATTAGTATTCATAACCACACTTGCCTTGTGCTGATACGAGGTTACTGTACTGACAGAGACAAAGAGTTCTGCGATACGATCTGAGCCGCTCTCCCTGCCTCTTAATTACACCAGTAGATAATCAACTCTGATGGGGAGGCTGCAACGGGAGCCGGGTCACTTAAAGTCCACACAAGTGCTTTTTATCTTCATATTAAATGTGAGGCATCGGAGCTGCCGTTGGAGTTGCTCAACTGAACCAAGAACACTTTATCTTGAAATCGTTGTTGTTTCCTTCCTTCCTTAATAGTTCAGCTGTATGAAGCAGAGGAGTTCAGCGTGCATGCTGCGTGTTCAAACAGATAATTCTTTAAAAAAGGATGAGTTTATGATTTTAAAATACACAGCTGCACACATGAAATGTCTGATAGGAAATAAAAACATACCTTATTCAGCCATTCCACTTTTTCCACATCTGGAAAGTTGACCTGTGGAAAAGTAATATTAGTCAGGCATGAGCTCAAATACGACACAGTAGTGTGAAATGACCTCAAGCTCTGAGTGGAGCAGTTAAAATACCTGAGATGATTCTTTAAGCAATATGTTTTTTGGACATGTGGAGTAATCAGAAGCCATCTGTAAATTGTTTTACAGCAGAAGAGGCAGTTTTTCTCCTTGAATTTCCCCCAGCTTCCTACATTTAAAATATATATCTGTTTATATATTTAATTTAGAAGTTAAGAGAGAACACAGGCCTAACAACTTAACACTAATTTGGTTACTGCCAAATATTCAGGAAATCATCAACAACATGCACATCATGCTTTCCTCCAAACCACATGAGATCTTAAGATTAAACCTAGCTGCCCACACACACACACACAAACACATGCACACCCACAGTTTATTCTCTCTCCCTCTCTATCCAGATATGGTGGTCCTGGTTACTGCCTCTGCTCTGCTCTGAATGATGTTTATGAGTCATCAGGTTTTTGAAGCCAGATAAGGTCAATGGCAGCTCGACTGTAGTGAAACGGGAAGAGGAAACACACAGAGAATCTCTCCCATTGCTAGATAAATTATTTTTTTACAGTACCGGCAGGCATTTTATGGTCTACTTAGTGCAAGGTCTCCTCAATATCATGTCACTTATTCCACTACAAAGACCTCATCTGACATGTTAATTCACATTCCTCACTGTGGCAGCAGTTCAAACTAATTCCCCAGGCACTGCACAGTAGGAATGTCTAAATATGGCTGGTCAGGGACAGGAGGAAAACACTGTGAACAAAAAGGACAGTCATGCACACATTTATCTGAGGGTTGCCATAAAGCAAAATCTTTTCATGTGTGCATGTGATCACTTTAAGAAGTCAGGAGCTTCTAAAGAAACAACAAGCGCCTGTGATGAGAAATATACATGTAGGATCACAGTGATGCAAAGTAACTGAGATGCAGCTCAAGTTCAGCCTGACAGATGTGGAAGATGTGACAGGTGATACAGACGGCAGAGAAAGACCGTGGTAGCCAGTTCTTACCCAGGGAGGCAAATCCCTTTTGGCCCTGAAAACGTTTTCAGTGGTGAATTTCCTCTCGTTCTCCAGAAGGTACATCGCAGACTTCAGCCTCATCACTTTCTCCAGTCGACTGTGTTTCCATCCCATGTAGATCATCAGCCCGAACAGGACTAGACTGATGCTGAAGCCATAATATCCGGCTAGGTACACCGGTAGAATGGCACCCAGGCATTTTCCAAACGACCACAGCACACTCACTGCGCGTTCAGCGGGGGGTGGGCTCGGTAAGGCCGGGGCTGTGACCGATGTGCCTCTGCTAATGCCCGGTTCTGCATCCGCGGCGGGCATCGCAAGATCCGTTTAACTTCACTGGCTCGACCTGGCCTTCAGCTTCTCTGCTTCTGCGACTGAGTGGCAAAGCGCCACTGAACAACTTAGCACCGTTTTATTATGGAAACCATCGAGAAAATCAACGACAAACTGCGAGCTTCGGTCGGTCAGATCATGATCACGGCTCTGCTGCGCTCTCGCTCAGTTCCGCAGGGTACCAAAATGGGCTATTCCGCGTTTCATTTACGTGCAACGCTTCTGCCACAGAGCAGGGCAAGCAGAGACCAAGACCTGCGAGGGCGGGCTCAGCTTCAAACCCTCCTTCAAATGAAATCCAGTAGAAAGAAACCCAAACCCTAGAATTAACTTGGTGGTGGCGTCACGCACTGGCTCGGGCGGAGCGTAATGCGTCCTGTGTGCAAAGTGAACCACTGTTTGCTTAAGACACCAGAGGACACGTTTATTCAGAGAAATCATCAGCACGGTGTAAAGTAAAGGAACCGCTACGCAAAAAAACAACTGTTTGTGTGTACAGGCTGCAGAACCCGTTATCTTTTCTTACATAACCGGATTAAATCCTGCTGCGTGCGCAAGCGCTCCTGTCATCTCCACTGCAGCAGTGCCAACAGGTCCGTTTGTCAGAGAAGGTGTATTAGCGCTGATGCTTCATCGAGTTGCATAGATCAGCTGCTGTTGTGTTGTCTATAAATAGACACAAGTGACAGAATCGTGACACCAGCATGCATGTAACGCAGAGTTTACACAACGGCTAAATGCAGGTGAAAGGAGCACTGAGCCTATAATCATAATGTGTCGTCCAGGTGCGGGTTGTCTTGTGGTTTTTCCACGTTTCTCATTAATAGCTTCATTTCTTTGGCAACTAAAACAGACCAGGTTAATCCCTCCCTGGTTGCCTGGATACAGCCAATTAGCAATATTTGCTGGAGGGGGTGAAAGGTTTGATGATCCACTGTGTAAACGGAAGCAAGCAGACACAGACATGCAGTCAGTCAAGCAAAAATACCAGAAAGCAACAACAAATGTAGATGTATATAGGCTATTTAAAATGTAGAGGTTTCTATGTGGGATTCAGTGACATTTAGAGATGAAGTAGCCTACAATAAGTGTATGTTATTCCTAAAAGTAGGTAGGATACATAAAGGCTTTGAGCATACAGACCAATGAAATAGGTCTACATTTTCATTGCCTCACACTTCCAAATATTCTAAATACAACAACCACCCAACCATGCTGTCTATAGGACTCATTTTATAACCTGCTACATTTTGACATGTATGTATTTATACCTATTGTATTCCCTTCTTTTTATTCAGTTACTGTCTTTCTTGTAAAATTTGTTGTTACGTTTATATTGTACATGTATAGGCTGTATATGTCAGAATTTTGTTGCTGTAAACAAAGACAACAACTCTTCTGATCCTACTTACAGTGTTTGTATTGGTTTAGAGGGAAACTTAATTTATGTTTACAAATAAAACATTTTGTAATAGTATTGCACAACTATTGAAAGCTAGAACGTCCTATGGCCTGCTTTCAAAATTGTGTATTTAAAAAGTAAAGAAGTCATACCAGTTCAGTGCTAAATGAACCTCCAAACTGGTATTAAAGTGTTTTGTCTGTCTGGTTTACAACTGACGTGTTCATAAAAAATAGGGTTAGGGGGGTTAGGGTTAGTTAAATTGTTCTTCACTGGTCCGTTTGATAGAGAATCTGTACCAATCACCTCGAAGTCGAAACAATTCAGCTGTTTTGTTCTCACGCATGACATGAACACGAATGACATGAAGCAGCTGTTTTGTTCTCCAGAAGGAAGAAGCAGAAGTAACAGTCACAAGGTGGTGAGTCTTATTTGTGATGCTCAAATGATAAAGGCCAAAGGAAGTATCCACATCATACTAATACCACACAGGTTACACAAGCACTGCAAAAGTATTTAAGTATAATAAGAATATGTACTTTGAGTATTAAAAGTCCTCAATTCAGAAAAATGTCCTCCTATACTTGTGTTATATATTATACCATATAGATTTATAGTTTATTGTTACTCATGCATTAATGTAAAAGCAGGATTTTACTGTTGTATAGCTGTGGGGGTGGACATCATTTCTCACTATTTTGTATAGGACAGGAACTAATGATTATTTTTATTATGGATTATTTTAAAATTATTATAAGCAACACATCTTCACATTTGTGATGGTTTTGTTGTTTAGCTGGAACCACGAAATGATTTAACATACAATGATTATTATCAGAATAGTTGCCAACACATTTTCTGTCAATCAAATCGACTAATGATTTCAGCTGTACTTTTATACTGTTGGGAAGGTCAGTTTATAACAAAATATCATATTTTATAAGCTCCTTTCTTTGTGTATGCACAAATCTCAATTTGTAAAGTAACTAGTAACTACAGTTATCAAGTAAACGTTAAAAAATACAATATTTCTTTCTGAAATGGGAGTCAATGAGTAGAAAGTGGCATTAAAAGAGTGAAGCAGGAAGTATAAGTATCTCTAATTTGTCCTTAAGTAAATGTACTTAGTTACATTCCACCACTGCTGGCCAAGTTTAAACTTGTGCCTTGTGTCAGTCAAGTGTCAGTTTGGTTTTCCCAATAGTCATGTGCATGATTTAGAGTCAGCAATGCAAATGCATTAAGGGAAGCAAGAAAAGCTGTTAAATAAAATTTAACAAAAACTTTTTTGTGATGACTTTGCACACAGTATTCAGCATTCTAATGAGGATAATGTGGGTTCTATAACATCTGTTTTCTGGGCGCAAAGAGTGTAAACTGAATGTGTTAATGGCTGCACTTGCAAACTGAGCAGACCATTTTAAAAGAGGTTATTTGGGTTTTCTTCATTGACTATTGAGGTATAACATAGAAAGTTAGACGTTGAAAATCAACACTAAAACTTTGGATCATTGTGCCAATATTATTATGTTTACCATGGAGATTTGTTAGTGTTTACTGGGCCATGCTTGCCTCCAGCCAACAGTTTTGTTATCAGTTGGATCTGTGTTTTCAATTACACCAAGTTTGTCACCAACCTTTCCCACCCAAGTTTTATCCTTCTGAAATATTCAGGACAGTTAGCATGTTCTATTGATGCCCTTTAAATTACATCATTTATTTAGTTAAGGTCAGAGCAAAGAGAAAGCATCTTAAATCTCTGCCAGCACACGCTAACTTCAACACCGCCAGAACTGCTGAGAAAACAAAAGGACCAAAATTCAAGTTGCAGGTGCAGATGATGTTACTGTGCTTGGATCAGCCATTTCTTATCTAAAAACACTGAAACAGAAACTTGTGTTTTCTTAAAGCTGGTGATGTCCACACCAGGTTCCTGTGGGGCCTCTTGAAATGTGTCCACTAGAGCTCAGTTCTAGCTGATTTTTGTCCCCCGTTTAAAAAATATCGTATAGTTTACACTGTTATTGTCCCATAATTCCTACTTCTGCCTCGAAAAGGGGACCATTTGTTGTGGTGCAATACATTAAATATATGGTAACACTGACAGCTGAATTCTCCTTACAGCTCAAGGTGTAAGTGCAAATGGAAGAGAGAACTACAGTGACACTTTCCTCTTTAATAGTGTTTTCCAGCAACCGCGTGATTATAATCACCTTGGCTAAAGACAGGATAAATTATTGGACTGCCTTGAAGGGTAAAAACAAGATACATTAGCGAGTTGTTTGTCTTGAGTGAGCTCTGTGCAAAGGTTACAGCATTCACACACCCACTGAAGTCATGGGATGTGGGTTGAATCAGAAATGTTTTTTTAGAGAGATTTGCCCACAAGGTCCAGTTACAGATGTCCCTGTTGGACAAACAAGTTCAAAATGTTCCAAACTTTTAGTACTTAAACTTTAATATTTCCATTTCATACTACTTAATACTTCTACTCCACGATTACTGGAAAAATGTTTTACTACACCTGAGAGCTTTGGGTAAATGCTTTGCAGATTTAACATTAAGAAGCATACGACCAACCAATAAAATGTGAAGCATTGTAGCAGATTAAACTATATCGACAACATTAAAATGCTTTCACATTAACGCATTAGTAATATTGATCGAAAGCACTGGGTAAAGGGGTTGCTCTGCATAACGAGAGCCTACTATCACTTATGATACAGGAGAACATTTACATGTTAGATTGTTTTTCACAGCAGCCATTTTGACATGAATTAGGGTAAACAGGTTAAAAATGATACTAAGATACAACTTAACCTCAAATGGCTGCAGTGAATAATCTCTATACATTAATTCTATCCTAGTTAAAATACTGGTCCTGTACTTGTAGTGAGTATTTGTCCACTGTGGTTTATCTTAATTGTATAACTAATATCAATGATGGCTTTGTGAAGGGACCCAGCATGCACAATATGGATCCTGAAGCCACTGCAGTTTCTTCATTGAGCCATAACTGATATATTGCTAAATCTGAGAGTCTGATTCATTTACATGGCAAAAGCCTTTTGATTCAAGCTGATTGAACAGTTTGTTAGCACCTGGAAGATTACAGATATACCACTTCCAGAAAACAGCTTTTAAATCACTCCACCCGTAAAAGCACTTTGAAAGCAAACAGTAAATTAAAAAAAAAAAAAAACCAAGTTCCCAAATGTTTTTTAAACCAAAACCTTTAATCAGAGTATAAACAAAAACAGGTGACAAAAGTTGAGGAATTAAGAACAAAGAGTCCAGAATATCCCAGAGAAAAAGCCTGTCATCCAGCAGGCCTTGAATCAGCTCTCCAGCATCAGTCGCTGTTGCCTCAGGTGGATGTGGGCGCCACTGGCCTCAGACTTGACGCAGGGAGGGTCCTGGTCTCCAGCTGAGCTCACCGGTCTGGTTGTTGGCAACACGTGCTGTCACAGCCATGGCGGAGAGGACAGTTTACTTGGACCTCTGCCTCATCTTTCTCCTTTTGCGCTTCAGCCTGGAAAAAGTGATCAATACAAGAGTCAGTCAGCCGAAAGTCCTTCAGCACGATGCAAGAGGTGGACCTGATACTGCTGACTGAACAACATGCGCCACACAATCTTACCTGCGCATGCGCTTCTTTCTCCACTGCGGAAAAGGAAACACAACGTTAAATTACTTTCTCGTTTAATTAATGCATTTTTGAGAACACTGAAATATATTAAACCGCACTGAAATAAACATACAAATGGCAAAACACGTGTTTTACAGCTAAACGCTAACGGACGTGTTTGTGCTGCCCCGTCGACCTGATGCTAGCCAGCTAGCGAACGTTAGCACAACTGAACACTGATTATTTGACCATTGTGACATAAAAACACCAACCTTAGCTCTCATATCGACGAGGGGAGGCTGGAAACAGAAGGGAAAACATGAAAGATTAGCTGGATTGGTTCAGACAGAAGAGGATTAACTTGGATTGTGACAGCAGCGGCGGCGCTCACCTACCGACAGCTAACGACTCGTCTCCACGAAGGACGTCACAGTCCAGCGACGTCAAATTTATAGGGCCTGTATACGTCACTTTGATTGGACCGTAGTAGAACATGGGAAATGGAGTTTTCACGACGCTAAAGCTAATTCCTGGTGACGTATTGTGGCATTGCGGCAGCTTTGTACGCGCGTTTAAGGTTCATTGTTCCAGTTATATATTTGATTTGTTCAGACCATTGACAGTTTATATATATATTTATATAAATATAAATATAAAAAAGTATAACAATATTTAAATATTAAACAGTAGCGAATATAAATATATATACAGACCTTTGCAATGTATACACATGCAGCAGATCTCACTGGTCTAAATTGTTATTTTCTAGTAATAATTTTACCACGTAAATTGTATACATGTGATTGGTGTTACATATTCTCTTTACCCATGGGCCTAGCTACCATTAATTAGTCATGTCCTCAGTATTTTTAGCATTTTTGTGTGTGAATTTGGGTTTTTAACCGGTGAGTAACTTTTAAAATATACACATGGTGGGTATTTTTTAAAAGTATTTTCCAGTATTTTTAGACTCTGCAGGGTTAAATATTATTCATTTTTGGC